CGCAATTATCGAACAAAACTTTGGGCCCAACTCGAAACTGAGCTTTGTCTGTGGCCTTTGCCAAGCCATAAATTGAAATTAAATATTCAATAACCAGAGGAATGGGCTCTAACACTTCCAACTTGATTAGACTTAGAAAATAAAATTTTGAACCAAAAATTCGGTAGTATTAAAAATATAATTAAAAACCTATTAAAGGAAGTTTCCCTCTAAATATTTATTTCAGGATTATTCCTAAACTTTTACCCCCTCAAATCAATTTCATGGGAAATCTTCCCCCATTTGATATATTGCTAAGAAGTGCCAACTTAGTTCTTAAAATTCGACAGCAGCGAAAAACAGTAAAACTTTAAGTCAATCAGGGAAAACAATTTTTGAAAAGTGCTCGCAACAAATCCGAGCGCAACGAAGGATTTTGAAAAATATTTGACATTTACATTGTGCACGACGCGGGAAAAGCGGGACACTGATGATGGGAAAAGCGGGGAAAACTCGGCAAAGGCAAGGGGAGAGGGAAAACGAAAAGCGGGAGGACGAGCGCTTGTTTAACTTAAATTGCTTTGCTCTGGCGTTGGAGAGATGGCGAAACAAAAGCCAACAACTGCAACTTTGCTCAATGCGCTTCCGTTTCCGCTACCCAGAATCCTTCGTCCCCCTTTTCGTCCCTCCTCGTTTTTCCCCCATTTTCCCAGAACCCCAGAAAACTCCTTGGCACTGCCAAAGTTTGGCATTGTTGTCTTTGGCTGTTGCTTGTGGCAATCACTTTCATTCGTTTTCCCCCAGAAAAACCGCCAAACACTTCCGCCCATCCGCGCAGCTCACCTCTCAACCCCTCATCCCATCTCATCCGTGTCTTTGTGGCAAAGTTTAAGTATAAAATTTAGTTTCTTTTGGCTTGGAAAATGCATTTTCCAGCGTCAGCTTGATTTACCCCATGGAATTGCATACGTTTTTTGATTGAGCAATTAGGGCAACACCGAGGTGGTCGGTTGTCGGAAGGTGGGGGATTGGAGCTCTGCGGTTCTGATTGCTTTTCAAATTTCATTTAAAGTGTCAGCCACACCAGAAACTATTCCATTTTCATAATTTGACAGCCATTGCGGGACAGTTTTGGCTTTGTGTTTCGATTATGTCAGCTATGGAGTTGTTGCAGGTGGTTGTGGTGGTTCAGAAGGAGTGGCTTTCCATGGGTCCTCTGTCCAAATGTCCTGCACAATGGACAACACGGACCACAGCCATGATTAGTGGTCGTCATGACTTCTGTCCTGCTGATATTCGAAATCCGTTTCGGTCGCAAAATATGGAATTGCGAAACATATTTTTTGACATGGCCATGGTCATCGAGGGGGTTAGAATAGATTGGAATGTTCTGTTGGTGAAGAGAAACAGATTTTGTGTGCCAGTGCAAATATTTATTTTGAAGAGCTCACAGATTTTTGTGCCGAGAGGCTCTTAAATTATACCATTTAGTTTTGGGCATATTTTTTGAATTTTCTCGAGTGAAGAAAAAAGGTCTTTTGAACATTTGGTACCACCATTCCCAACTGTTATGCACAGGAATTAAAAATACTCAATTTAAATATCATTGACTTTTCTTATCATTTATTACGGTTTTTATAAACATTAAAATATTTTTAACTTTTATTTAATTACATTAATTAACTATATATATTTCATATTTTTAGTGTACATTTTTTTAATAAAATGAAAATTTGTTGGGAAATCAAATAAAAGTTTCTAAATTTAAAACAAAGCTATAATCGTTCTACCCAACTTTATCTAATAAACTTACCAAATTTAAAATATAATATTTATGAAATATAAATATTTAACGTCCCAACTCCTTAAGTTTCACAGGAAATTAAAATATACAAAATAAGATAAGCAAGGCGGATAAGTTAATTTAAAAAACCCTGGCCAACCGATGACATTTAAAGCCAAACGTTTAATTGCAAGTGCCAATCGGCAGTTTCCCCGATCAGCAGGACTTCTTTCCCCCGATTTTCCCCTTCGGCCACAACAATTTTGCCACTTTGGCTTATCACACGTTGGCGTTGTCCTTGTCCTCCTGCCAATGTCCTAGCCACAGGGAGTGAGAAAATAAAGCGTTAGCGAAAAACAAACAAAATGCAACTTGCAATGAAAATGAAACCACAAAAGGGGGCGGGACAAAAGGGCGTGCAAGAAAAAACGTAAGCCATTTACTCGTTAACTGTTAATTCAGAGGAGCGCAAAAAAATACAGTGATGGCTCTCAAAATGTATCTATAATATTTAAGTTTTTAAATTAAATTTTTCTTCTAAAAAAATATATTTATTTTAAGCATTAAATTTATAACATTAAAAATATATCTGTAAGAAAAAATACTTTTAAAAAAGCGCTGTAATTATATGAAAAAAAGTATATTACTTTAAAAAATAACATTTTTTTTTCTTAGAAATATATCTGACCAGAAAATAATTTTTATTTTGAAAACCATTTTCACTGTACCACCAAAGTTGGTAATTCCGAGTCGGAATAATAGAATAGGGACTGCAGGACGTGCCGGAGTGCAGCTAATAACAAAGCGCCAGTGCCGACACAACACATTTGCGCATCAAATTAGATTTAATTTCGAAAACGGCAAAAAAATGTCTCTTTTTAGCTCGACAAACGAGAAGAGCAACGTATTAGCAAAAGGGAGGACTCAACACACGAATCCAAGTCAACACGCAGGAGCAACAAAAACCGAGAAAAATGTGACAACCAACAGACAAAAAGTCGTAAAGATGCCAAAAACACACAGGAAATGGAGTCACGTGTGCCTTACGTTTAAATTACTCCGCTGGGAGTCCTCACACTCGCATATGCACACACACACATGCACGAGCGAATGCAAGTGAGGCCACAGAAGTCCTTCGGAATACACTTATCCGTGCAAGGATCCTACGAGAGGCCCTTAAATGACAAAGAAATAATATTAATGGCACAACGGTATTTGAATTTGAATCTTGGCGGGCTTTTTTGAGCAGCGCCACTTGGTAGTTCATGAATGAGCCACTAGTATTTGGTGGCGCTAGTGTATTTATGCATGTGCCGCCCCCTGTTGGCCTGTTATGTTCGAGTTTTTTGGCGCCAAAATTTGAACTGATTTAAAATTTTCGGGAGGATTTTTTGTTCTTTTTTTTCGTTATTTATAATGTAATTTGCAGAATGCAACAAGATTAATTTACACAACTTTTATGTACATTTTTTTCTCAGGGTTTTTTTTTTCCTTAAATAACTTAAGTTTATTGCATAGTTCATTTAATTCATTTTAAAAGCCATCAATTAAATTAAGCCCACTTTTTATTGGGTCAAATTAATAAGAGTTCATTTCTCATTTTGTTTGAATTTTTATAGCTTTATGGGTATTTCCCGTCGTACATTTCCAAGCTGACCACAGCGAAGCGGAAAGCACCCATATAAAAAGCCGTCATATTCGCGCCTAGAAATGGGGATAACAATTCATACTGGACAAAAAGGCGGCAACGAAGTTAAAGCGACTATTAAATGCCCTGGAATTTAGATTTTATATTTTCCCACACGACTTGTCCAATTACTGTTCATCCTTCCCTTGGGTTTCTTTATTCAAATTCAACGGAGGAAAGGTTAATTCCCGGTGATTTTAATTGACTGCCATTGCGATTCAAAAGGGATTTCCATTGCCTCTGGGCACCTTCGATTGCATGTGGAGCTGCCGTCTTTTCTTGCATGCATTTTCTTCGTTTGCGGCTATCAAGTGAAAATCATCAGTTTTCATTTCTAGCGTTTAGGGCCAAGCCCCCACCCTTTGGCGTTTGGATGTGTGGCTCATTTTTGAATTGCAAATGCGGACCCACAGTGCATTCTTCACATGAGAAGGGGGGTTGAATTTCGCGAGGGGCGGAAGGGAGGTCCTTGCATGCCAGTCGAACATTGCAGCTTTGTAATGTCCTGCTGTTAGCGCCAGTTGCCCATTTGTGTACCTCTGCTTTTCCAGCGCCGTGATTTCGGTGTAATTAAAAACCAGCTTTGGATGCGATTTTGTGGCGATTTTCACAAGTTTTGACTAAGCATTTAAGACTGGAATTAGGGAATATAAATTAAAATGCCTATTTTAACTAAAAAATAATTAAAATGCCTATTTTAACTAAAAAATAATTTAAATGGGTCGTATTTTGAAGGATTAAATAAAGGTAGCAATAATTCCGGCTTCCATTTCAATAAATTATTTTAAGAAAAATTAAATTTATTTTAGTTTTTTATTAGTTTGTAATCCTATTATAAATTTTTAAATATTCCCAGGAGATCCCAACTTCGTTTCTTTTAATTTTTCCTTAACTAATTCCCGCCTTTCTCCTAAGCAAACTCACATTGTGGCTAACTAGGGTGGCTTTCTGGGCCCAGCTCGACAATTAAAACTTAATTAAAATTGCATGCACTTTAACCTTCGCCCTGAACTTTTATTGCTTTTAATTAGAATATATTTATATGCGCTTGACACGACTTTCACGCCCATCCGGCGGGATTATATAATCGTTATGCCCATAACCAAATGAGACATTAAATGGAAGCAAAGAGCTATTAGTGCGGTTCTTAGAGGTCGTTTTGGATTTATTTTATTTCCATAATTTAATTTATTTAACGATAATAACGAATAAAAAGTAAAATTACCGATGTCATCTTTTTTTTCAAATTTCCGGTTGGCGGGAAAAAAAATAAGTTAACATTGGCCTGCTACTAACAGAGCCATAAAAGAGCCCTGTTAACCGATAACAGAGCCCTGTTACCCGATCAGCTGGGCAGCTCCCAAACCAGGGATGGGAGCACCTGCGGAGGCTAGCAGGTCAACAAGTTTTTAGAATTTTTTAGAAAAGTTCCTTTTTAGGTAACTAAGAGGTACTGCGTGGTGGAGCCCTACTAGCCGATCACACCCTCGCCGAGAGCTACGATTTCTCCAAGAATCCCGCGCAGGGCAAGCCCCCGTCTCACCGGTCACGCCAAATATAAAAGTAATTCCCGCGGAGGAGCCGAACCACAGTTTTACATGAGCTGCCGACGGCAGAGGTACGTTTCTGGAGGCCCAAGGAGCTGCATTGGAGGCCATCGGGGAGTCGCAATCGGAATCGTGGGCCTGCAGCCGCATTCTTGGCGTGACTGCGGCGCATTAAATCACCGGGAAAAACGCGGCGACGAACAACAACCGGAAGTTCAGCGCGAAAGGAGCAACTGGTGGTCAGCGCAATGGAGGTTTACGCTTGGGTAACTACCATACCATATCTTTTTAGACTAGGCGGGGAGGAACTTCGGGAACCGACGACTGAAATACTCTTAAAGGCCAAGACGAGTCGATCTAGGCCTGTCCGTTTGTCCGACTGTCTGTCCGTCCGCCCATCTATCCGTCCATCTGTCCGTCCGTCTACCTGTCCGCCCGTCCATCTATCCGTCCGTCCATCTGTTCGTCCGTCCATTTGTCCGTCCGTCTATCTGTCCGTTTGTCCGTCCATCTGTCTGTCCGTTTCTACCCAAACTAGTCTCTCAGTTTTGAAGCTATTGAGATGAAACTTCCCAAAAGTCTTCCTATTGCAGGTATATATAAGTCAGATTTTGCCGGATCGGACAATTATATCTTATAGCTCCCATAATCAGGCATTTTTTTAAATTATATCATTGGTGTTTTTAATAATTCTTTTTAATAATTATAAATTTCTAATTTAATTTTATCAAAATCGGACAACTATATCATATAGCTGCCATAGAAACTGCATTTTTTACTACCTTGCATTGTAAACTTCTTGCTAAAATTGTATTACCCCCTGCAAAGAGCATGCTGAACCAAAAAAATAGAGACATCGCCACAGGGCATTTGCAATGCAAATTAATGAGTGATTTCCTTCGCCTGGGTCTTGCGCCCTTTTTTCCGCCATGTCTAGGGTGCCAATTCTCACGGCCAGCTCGGCCTTGGCTTTGAGTCCGAATTGTGCATGACACCGCAGCGGGTGACGAGGTGCTCCTTCGCCGCCCCCCAGGTGCGATTCATTCGCGGCGGCGGCGGCCACGTCCTCATCCTCGACACGAATGGCAGGGTGCATGCCTGCGGCTGGAACAATCGCGGTCAACTGGGACTGGACTCCACGGAGGAGTGCCACAACGAGTTCAGGATGATTCCCAGCGAGTTCTTTGGGGTGAGCTTACGATATTCCCAAGGAATCTGCATTTTAAAGATATTCTTTTTTCCAGGAAGTGCCCGTGGAGACCATCAGTTGCGGCTGGGACATTTCGGGTGCCATCACACTGACCAAACGGCTGTTTGTCTGGGGCTCGAATGCCTTTCAGCAGTTGGGCATTTGCCAGCGTGGCTTTGTGGCCGTTAGGAGACCCATGCCGGTGAAGCTTCCGCGGGAGGAAGCCGCCCAGAGGATCAGCTTCGGGCTGCGACACTGCGCCGTGCTCACGCAGGACAACAAGATCTACGTTTTCGGGCGACTGAGGATCATGGATCCGCCGCCCATCGAAGTGGACATCACGGCCACCTGCCTGCACCGCTGCAACACGGTGAAGATCCAGGTCCACAATCCCAATGAGCTGCGCATAGTTTCCCTCGCGAGTGGTCAGAATCACATGCTGCTCAAGTGCGTGGATCTCAGCGAATCGGGCGGCGGCAGCACCAAGAGGATTCTCACACTGGGGGACAACAAATTCGGGCAGTCGAATGCCTTTCAGTTCGAGGAGGATGTGCGACAGCTGGCGGTGGGTTGGACCCACAATGCAGCCGTGCTGAGGAACAACGAGATCCTCGTGTGGGGTCGCAATTGCTATGGTCAACTGGGAACCGGTTCGTTCAGCGAGCAGCAGGCCATTCCCACTCCGCTGCACCTGAAGCTTCCGGAGGACCAGAGTCCGGCCAGGATTCATATGGGCGCCGAGCACGGACTATTGAGGACCACGGGTGGGCAGGTTTACACCTGGGGATGGAACGAGCACGGCAATTGCGGCAACAACAGCACCGAAAATTTGTAAGAATCTATTTGAATTAGAAATTTTGTGATTTAATAATTTGTATATAATTTTTGTAATATTTTTGCAGGTGCACTCCAACCCTCTTGGAACTGCCACCCATAAAATTGTGTGGCGCTGGAGCTGGATTTTGCTATGCCATTACCGAGCCTGTAATCTGATTTTTAAATGCTAGTACTTTGAGCTATCGCATTTTTTTAACCTAAGCTTAGGGGCCATTGTGACGTATTTGTGTAGAGCTTTGTTAATCCTTTTTAAATAAAGAAACTACTGTTGGTGATAACAATTATTTGGAGATTATGTATAGTAATTCTAATTCTTACCAGAATTTTTTTACAAATTAATCATTATTTAATAAACTGCGTCATGTTTATATTCTAAATGGCAGCCTTTTTAGATATATTAAAAAATAATTAAGCAAGATTTTTAATTCGCATTATACGCAACGTCAAACGCCTTATTTTGTGCGGGGAAAAAAAAGAACGTTTTTGGGCTCCACGGTCACACTGCGGATTTTTGACATTTGCGCTTGCGCTGTTTCCGGAAGTTTTTTTTGTCCGTGCGAACAATTTCTTGGTTATAAAATATTTGCGGAAAGCAAAACTAAACATTAAAAACTAATTTATTCTTGTTAACAAAAATCGACAAAGGTTGGTAAAGTTATAAAATCTGTTTTTTGAAGATGCTAGATATTAAAGTTAAACAATAAATTAGTGCAAAAGTTAAAAAAAATCTTTAAAAGTTAAAAAATATTTCATAAACACAAAAAAGGCTACCAAAATTTATTTATTTAAACATTTTGCAATATTGGCAAAACGCCAACCAGTGCAGCCCATCATCCGTATGTCAGTAACTTTTTCGCCAACCATGTGGATTTTTTTCTTGCCATTTCCTGGAATCTGACTTTTGTTGTGCTGCACACAAAATAAATTAAATGTTTACGCGGTAATCCAAGCCCGAATTAATTTTGTTTATAAACAAGCGCAGATTGACGTGCGAATTGTTTGGGTTTGGCTTCTATTACTGCCCACAGTCTTGGGGTTTTACTTGATTTTTAGTCAGTGAGCTGCGGGAAACAGCAGGCAAAGGCTGAAAATTAATATTAATATTTGGGAAATTTTCAGTTTTATTGTCAGATATTCTTGATAAATTTATAGTTTTCGCCTTTAAAGTTGCATGATGTCCGAGAGTACAAATAATTCGGGTCATCTGGCTTTCGATGAACTGGATGCCAAGGAAACTGCCGCTGCTTCTCAAGGTAATATTATCTAGAACTTTGCAGGGTTACCTTAATTTATTTAACCAGTATGTTTTTGCTTTTAGCTAATATACCCACTCAACTGGCCAAGAAAATCTGGGCCGTAACGCCCAATGATGTTTCCCTGGGGATTGTGGAACCACTCGAGCCTTCTGTGCCTAACTTTGAAACTTCATCGGGATCAGGATCGGGATCTGGAGTAGGATCTGGTAGTAAGCCACCTTCAAGCGATAATGCCAGCATCTATATAACCGAGGTGGAAAGGGCTCTTTATGGCGATTCCACGGGCTATCCGGAAAACGGCACTCCCAACTACTTCAAGGCCGCCGAGAACTATTCGCTCTTCGGGGAAAGCTTCCTCGACTTTCCCAAGGACACGGCCAGCTGTATGGCGGGCCTGGGAGCGATGGTGAGTCAAGCTTGGATTGCGCCGCCGGGCCACGAGAGATCCGGGAGGTCGGCGCCTCTGTACGAACGGAGACAAGCTCAGGAACAAGAACGAGTCGCCTCGGGAACGGGGTGCAACCTTTCGGGGGTAAGATATGTGCAAAGAAGGCGCGATTGTAATCTATATTTTTTACAAGGGGGTAGCGTTCTCTAGAAATTATTGGTGTTTTAGTTTTTTTTTAATCAATTGTAATTTATATTTTAAAAGGGGTAAATTCTGTAGAAATTCATCGATTTTTAGTTTAATTTTTAATTCATTTAATTAATTTATTTTTTTATGTGCTAATAATTTTTGAATATTTCAGGGCGGCGGCTATCAGCAGCCACAAAGACACCCACATCAGCAGCAGCAGCAACAACAACATCGTCCCCCTGGCGTCGACAACAACAACAACAACAACAATCGTAACTCTGCGAGCAACTTCAATGAGATACCATTTCCCCAGTTCTACCATCAAATGCATCACCAACAACCGCCGCAACCGCAACTGAATCCAAATCATCAGCACAATCTCCATTTGCCACAAAAACCGATGCAACAGCAAGGACCGCCGCAACAGCAATATCAACAACAGCAGCAACAACATCGTTCTGGAGCCCCACCGAGTGTCGGAGATCTAGCTGGGTTGGCTCATTCCAATCCCAATGATTTCGCCATGCTCTACCAGCAACTGATGGCTCGCAATCTGCGCTCCAATCAGCAGCACCACCAGCAACATCCGCCGCAATCTTCGCAGCAGACATCCTCCAGTGCCGCAGCTGCTGCAGCATTGCTCTACAAGAATCTGGAGTTTCAGCAGCAGGTTCAACTGCGTCAGTTGCAACAATTGCAGCAGCAGCAACAGCAACAACAGCCTCGTATGCCACGTGGAATTTTTGGGGGCAATGGTGGTCAGTCGGGCGGAGGAGGAGGAGGAAATTCCACCAACGGAAAGGAACCCCCAGCGGGAGCTCACAAATAAAATATGTTCACCAAATCAAAGGTCAGACTTTAGATCCAATTGCTCAGATTTTAAAAGACAATTAACATTTTAACCCCATTTTTTTATAAACTTTAAATTCGATTTATTTCACTTTAACAATTATAAACAAATTTTAAAGTCCAGCCTTTGATCACTTAAAAATCTACATGGCATAATAAATCTGCTTCATTTATATTTTTATCAAATTAAATGGTGTTGGTTTAATTTTAATAAATCGGCTTCATTTATAAAATTTTAAAATTAAATGGTTTTGGTTTAATTTTAATAAATCTGCTTCATTTATATATTTTTCAAATTAATTGGTGTTGGTTTAAATATTTGCAATAAATCTTAAACTTAATAAATATTTTCCTAAACAGCTGGAGCTATGCCCATTCTCTTCCTAGCCCAATCGAACTCCACGTAGTTCTCCCTTAAGAAGACATCGCCGATGATCCAGTGGGTCAGACCTCGCATGTCCATGAAGCCGGAGAAGCAAAAGTCCTGATAGACAATCACATAGGTCTGTGGCTTCACATAGAATTCTTTGCCAGCAATGCCAAATACAATGATGGGTAGTTGGGAAATGCTAGAACAGTCCACCAAGTATAGATCAAAGGTGGAATTATGCTCGGCCCCGATGGCCTTGTTCAGATAGAGGACATCCATGACGGGACCAACTATTAGGGAGGTTCCCGTATCCATGATGGCCTTGCATCCCGATTCGCAACGCCTGGAACTCTTCCCATGCACCTCGATAAAGTCCATTTTAAAGGTCCAGTACTTGGCCTCTGTGACATTTGTGTAGGTCAAAGGACCATAATACAGACTCGAGTTCGATCCACCGAGAATCAAGGAACCACCGTCGCGGGAACCACTTTTCAAATGGAACGAAAAGATGGGCTGTTCCACCAGTTGTTGGTCGATCATCTGCTGGAATGGCGGAACCGAATCGGTCATCGAGAGTTCTTGGAAAGCGAAGCCAGCGATGCCATCGAAAACGGAGCAGGAATCGGAAATGTTGACCAAACCAAAGCCTTGATTCCGGATCTTTATATCGCCGAAGCCCACCTCATCGGAGGCCACAATGCCCTTCACCGATCCCGAGCCATAGGTGATGCTAAAGGGAACTCTACTCGATCGAAAGGCCTTCGACTTGGATTCCCTGAAGAACTTGGTGCCGCACTGTTTGATGCAGAATTTGCAATGCGAACTGGGCACCCAGAGGTCCGAAGATCCCGTGTCAAACTGCATGGTAAATGGTTGATCTCCAGCCGAAACGATCCCGAAAAAGTTGGTATCATAGGAATTTATCAAAGGTTCTGATAGCACTACTCCTTTAGAAGAATTACTAGTCACATTCACCGCATTCACTGTTCGCAATGGAGTGTATCCGTACTTTCTTCTCAGGGCATTTCGAAATTCTATATGCATATGGGCATGGGGAACTTTGTGGTGACGGTGGGATCGCCTCTCCAGTCGAAATCTGTGCATCTTTCTACAATCGACCAAAACGAGCAGGCACAAAAATAGGATAATCACACGTAAATTCATTTTGGATCACTAGCTCGTTTTCTAGTCACTCCACTTGTTTTTATAGTTTCGCCAGGGGGAATTTATCATTTTCATATTTATTTAAATTCACACGTAAAGTGGGTTAAACATGAGACTTAAACTGGAATATGTGATTTTATAGAGAAAATGTATTAAAACGCATTTAAAAGGGTGGATTATTTATTAATAAAATATAGAAATATAATAAAATAGTTTGATTAGGTAGATACAAAATATGAATATAATTTTAAAAAAATAAATTCAATGAACTGCTGGTGCGAGTCCAATGAGTTTGAAGACAATATCGTAGACCGTGTAGTAAACTCCCATGAAGATCTCGCCCAGAATCAGCAAGGTGTTGCCTTTCAAGCTGGTGAAGCCCGAAACACAAGTATCTCCATATCGCAGCACATAGTCGGTGGACTTCAAGCGGAATTCCCGGCGGGCGATGGTAAAAATTATATCCGGAAGTTCAGAGATCCTAGAGCAATCCACTAAAAACACACTGTTCGATGCCGTTGGGTTGAGTACTCCCAATATTTGATTGAGGGTATCGAGGACTTTCTCAGGCACAACAATCAAAGAAGTGCCCACATCGAGTATGGCCTCGCAATTCTCGCAGAACTCAAAGTTATTCACTCTGGCTTTTGACATGGTAAATTGCCAATAACCTGCAGTTGAAACCGGCACATAGGTCAAACATCCACTATACAGACCCGAATCGGTGCCTCCCAAAATCAGCTCACCACCATTTACGGCATTTGTGCCATTTCTATTGAGGTAAATGGAAAAGACTGCCTTTTTCACCAGACCCTGAGCCACCAAATTGAAGAAAGGCGGTGTGATACTGTTGATGGCTATGCTGGAAAATCCCAGGCCCAAAATTCCCGAGAACTGAGACTTGAGGAAGGCGGTCTCTGGAGCATCGGTGATCTCGGCAAAAACTTGATTTTTCACGGAAAATCCAGCTATATTAACTGTGTCCTGGGACTCGAAACCAGAGAGTGCTATAATACCTTCTTCCGAACCGGATCCATATTGAATAGTGAAGGGGTTATTAATACCCTTGTAGGTTGTGGAGGCACTTGAATTATACTTTTCCAGATTCGCACAGGGCTTAACCGAATTTGGGCATTTACTGGAAAGCACCCAGAGATTCGCCGAACCCGTATCGATGAGGACTTTGAGAATCTGTGGAGGATTTCCGATCTTAAGAGAGGTATAGTACTCCGTGTTGTAAAGGTTTCCCAGTTTTGCGACACGCGATCCAGAATCCTTTGTTTTCGCTTTCGAAGTAGTCGTCTCATCTACTTTTAGCTTGTGCTTTATAGACAGGGTCTTGAGTTCGTTCCTCACATTCTCTTCAATGGGTTCGGGATTCTTGTGCAATCCAATTTTAAGTCGCTTGCGGGCATCCACTTTTAAGGCGAAGAGGGCTAAAACTATTAGCCCGAATAGCATTAAACTGTTCCACTTGACCTTCATCGTTCGAGTTTTCGATTTGCCAATTGAGGCCTATTTGGTCACGTATTTATAGCTCTGCAGCTTGACTTTTGTTCGGTGAGATAACTTGGGTTCAAGTGCAGCTGAGGTCGATCGTTTCACACCATTGGGCCAAGAATTTCACACGCGATAAGGCAGAGCATTCTCTATATGAACATTTTTGGAGGTGTCTGCAATCGTTCATTAAGCGTGGAGAAAATTTACAGTGGGGTAAAAAGGTTTCCTAGCGCACAAAATTGGATTTCATTGGAAAATATTTTATAAAAAATCACACAAAAATATTAGCATTTCATAACATGTTTATGTATTTATTGTTTATTTTTATAATGTTTATAGTGCGGTGAAAAGGTTTTCTAGCGCTCATAATTGGATTAAAAATAAAATATTAATAATTACACATTAATCTAAAATCACACAAACTAATTGCATTTCATATCATGTTTATGTTATTATTATATTTTTTTTTTAATATTTACAGCGGGGTGAAATGGTTTAAAAATAAATTATTTATAATCAAATAAAAACACCTCTTAACGAGGTAAAAAACTAGTGACGACCGCACCTTCAACATACAAAAGTTCTGATATCAACATTTGTGACGAAAAATTATTACACTCGTCATTAAATAGACTTTCTAATCTTTTCTCATTCGGCCCGCCCTAGCAAAATATTCCAGCCTTTTTCCCTTTACAGGCATTTTCTATTGCAGCGTGACGAATGAGAAAAGATTAGAAAGTCTATTTAATGACGAGTGTAATAATTTTTCGTCACAAATGTTGATATCAGAACTTTTGTATGTTGAAGGTGCGGTCGTCACTAGTTTTTTACCTCGTTAAGAGGTGTTTTTATTTGATATCAGAAGTTTTTGTTTGTTTACATTTGCTCTCATAGGAGCTAATATATACATTTAAATTTAAATTGGTCAATCATAATTTTTAAACTATTGTATTTTAACAAATTAAGTTAAAAAGGCGTTGAAGTATTTCAAAATACCTTTTAAACGAGGTATAGCACACGTCTGTACCTTTAGTAGTGTAGAACTTACAAACTAACGAAATTTAGCTATTTTTAGCTTTTTCCCGCTAAAGTAGCGGCTTTTTCCAAAAGTCGTAGAACAAAAGATTCCTATAAGGAACTCTTAAGTGCAAATTTACTGATTCCATGACCCTAAAATACAGTTCGGATACCCTCCCACAAAATTCAATACTCAGGGAGCGTTAGTTGTTCTGAGCTGGCAAAAGTGGCTATTTTCGTTTCTGAATAACTTTTAAACGCGATTTTTTACATAAACATGATATATACCAAAATTTAAGGAATCTCAAGGGCTATACAGTTTAAAGTTGTAAGGAAAATCGTTAGAGACGTTTTTAAAAAAATTAAAAAAAAGTTTAAACAAATTTTCTTTTGTTCATATCTTTTTAACTATTACATTTACACAAATTGCATATAGAAGGCGTTTATAACATTTAAAAATACCTTTCAAACGAGATGCAGCACAAGTCTGTAGCTTTAGTAGTATAGAAGTTACGGCTTTCCGAATTTTAGCTATTTATAGCTGTTTTCCCGCTAAACTAGCTAGTTTTTCCAAAAGTGGTAGAACAAAAGTTTTTTATATCGATGTGATGAACGTCATATCAAATTTTCAGAACTTAAAAAACATATTTTGGACAAGTGGACAAGTGGACAAGTGGACAAACTGACAAACAGAATTAAATTTTCATTTTGGGAAGAAGAAGAAAATCTTATTTTGGCTATAACTTTTGAACGGAGAGTCGGATTTTGACAAATGACCCCTCATTCGACGGGTATTTTCAAAAGGAATACAACTAAAACATTGCGAGGGGGCATTTATCCCCACCGGCCCCAACAGCTCCAAATTTCGAAATTTTCACTTTTTCACTTTCACCGCTCTCTCTCCCAAGCCAATTGATTTTCTTAAAGTCTTGGTATGCAATCCTGTTAGTTTTCGCAATACCTTTCGATAGGTGTATTATTCATTATGATCGGACCATCACAGTAGATTTTCATTTCTTCGTGTATATATAGTAGTCGCCTTCGCACACTCTCCTGGTGCGCTTCGTCACTACATGGACTGCCGTCCATAGTGATTATACATTAATCCAAAATCACACAAAAATTTTTGCATTTCATAACATGTTTAAGTATTTATTTTTTTGTAATTTTTATAACCCCTATAAATCTAGATAATCATATCGTTCGTTTGTTCGTTAAAGACTTAAGCCAGGTTGGCGAAACCCACGCGATTCTGGCCGAAATCGAACTCGGAGTAGTACTGGCCCAGGAAGACATCGCCGAGGATCCAGAAGTCGGTTCCGATGTAAGTGAAGGTGGACATGCAGGTGGTATAGTTGCCATCGGTGTAGGTTTGGATGTAAACCGAGGGCGGAAGATCGAAGTTGGTTCCGCCAATATTAAAAGTCAACACAGGCAGGGAGTCCACGGTGGCGCAGGGCACATAATAGTCGCCCTGGATGAGAACGCCGCCAATCAGGGAGTTCACCTGGGCATAGGCAGCCGGAGGACAGGCAATCAGGGAGGTTCCCGTATCGGCAATCGCCTGGCAGCCATCGGAAACCACGGTTCCATTCCAAGTGATGTTGTTCACAGCGAATTGCCAGTAGCCCTGCTGGGTGACCGATGTGTAGGTCATCTCACCATCGATGAGGTTCTGATCGGTGCCACCAAGAGCGAGTTGACCACCCTCCTGCGAGGAACCATTCCTGGCCAGGTAGAAGCCAAAGACTGGCTCGTCAATCAGACCCTGTGAGTAGAGATTGTAGAAGGGAGGCACCACATTATCCTCGGCAATCTGCTGGAAGCCCATGCCCAGAATCCCGTCGAAGGCCACGTCGGTGAAGCTGTCGCCGGGCTGGGAAACTGCCTCTCCGAAGGTCTGATTCGCTATATTCAGACCATTAATGGTCACCGTATCGATGGCCAGATAGCCCGTAACACTACCCGTTCCATATTGAATCGAGAAGTTCTGGCCACTCGAGACGTAAGTGGAGGAGGCACTGGAGTTGTACTGGTTGTGCTGCTGGCAGGCGACATCGGTGGCCAAACACTGGGCAGATGGGATCCACAGATTAGCGGAACCCGTATCGAAAACCACATTGAAGTATTGAGGAGGTGAGCCAATGCTAATCTGCCCGTAGTAATACATGTTCATCGAGTTGCCCAGCTCCTCGGATGTATAGTCATCCGAATTCTGGGTGGGATCATCGTATCCATAGTCGGGCTGCACATAAACCGGAACTCCATCCTCGTAGATGATGAGGTCGTCCGTCTGATGGTACTTGTGTTTCAAGGCCCGAATCGCCTGCTTGCGACTGGCACGCGAATTCTTGTGGTCCTGGTTCTTGTGGATCTTGATCCGCTGGATCTCAGCACTGACCAAGGCCAGGATGGTCAACAGAACCAGAAACTTGAACATTTTGATTTTATATCTTGTTTATAAACTTTCCCTAGCAAATGCCCTTTTTATTGTCTGGGGCTAGACTGAAGAAAAAACCTATAAAGCACTGTTATTTATATGGTCGGTAATGGGCCCCAAAATTGATCACCAATCGACAAAGATATCACATTTGATCGATAGTCCTTATCGATCTTGGCCTTTGTTTACACGAGTTGGTGCCGTGCATAAAATCGGACTCGACTCGAAGCAATCAAATTCAGCCGTTGGGATTTTAGATAAACTTCCCGGTAAATCGGCGAAACCTTCAATGAAAAAGTCTCGAAAGTTTGTAAACAAATCATTTATTTGGCCTGGAAAATTTTGTTTTGATAATTATATTTATTTACTTTTTAATTAGTCACATTTTGTTGTATTTTCTTCCACAATCACTTTATTTTTTCTTATAAAAAATCAAATAGAAATCCATTATATTTTGTACATTCTAGAAAAATTCCTACCTTCCACCAAATTTTTAAATTATCTAATAAAACACCATAATAATATGAAAAGTATTCTTAAGAACTAGAAATAGAAGATCTATCATAGTCATATTTTCATACTTTAGGAGCTATGCCGATAAGTTTGAGGCCAAAGTCGAAAAGCGTGAAGAAGGCCCCGAAAAACACATCGCCAAACACCCAGATATTATTCAAATCCTCGCCATCATCGTTTGTTTGCACTGTACTGCAGTTGGAGAGACTCGAAAACCCTGATACGCAGGTTCCACTGTAGTTAAGAATGTAGTGTGCGGGGGTCAAAGTAAAGTCCTTCCATCCGATATTCAAGACGATATTCGGTAGACTAGAGATCTTTTTGCAGTCAATGGTATAGACACCATTTCTTAAATCACTCGCCTTGATTCCCAGCTTTTGGTTGATGATCTTGAGAGCCGCACAGGGAACAATTATCAGAGAGGTGCCCACATCAAAGATGGCCTGGCAGTTGGAACAGAGCTGTTTGCCTCCTATCTTAACTCGACCCACGGTGATCTGCCAGAAACCCACTTTGGAGAGGGGCACATATGTTAGACATCCCCTATAAAGAGTTGGATCCGATCCTCCCAGGAGCAGCACTCCTCCATTACTCGCATCCGAAGCATTTCGGTTGACGTAGAGGGAGAAAACGGGTTCATCGATGAGTCCTTGGTTCAGAATATTATCCAGAGGAGTGGTCACCCCATCAAGCGCTATCTCAGGAAGTCCTAGTCCCAGGATACCGTCGAAATTCGAGCGTTTGCACAAGCTTTGAGGGGCTGAATTTATTTCAGCAAATGTCTGATTTTTAATCGACAAGTCGCCTATGGTAAAAGTATCCGTGGACAGGATTCCCGTCAGCACGTCCTGCGATGCGAACTGTATCTCAAAGGGCTGTCCATTGGCCTGATATGTCTGCGATTTACTGGCACTGTAGCCACTGTGCTGCGTACAAGATTCGCTTACGAATTTGGAAGAATAGACCAATAGATTCGCGGAGGCCGTGTCCAAAAGCAGAGTGACCTGCTGGTTCTTGGGGGTTCCAAAATCTGCCGTAACATAGTACTCGGTGTTGTGGGAATTGATCAGATTGTCCCTGGATACCGATGATTCAGATACAGAAAGCGAGGTTAAAGCTATTTCCCCGCTTGGGTTTAGTTTCTCCTTGAGCCTCTGCTTTTGGCTGGCGAAACTCCTCAGAATTTTAGTGTGATTCGTCTCCCTGTGCAGACTCAATTGCACCGACTTGCGCCATCTCTTCTTCGATTCCACTGAACTTTGGGTTAGGCACAAAATTAGCACTATGGTCAGTGCCAGTCTGAGTTTCTTCGACGACTGCATCGTTCGTTGGCGTCACTTTGGCCCTAAATCGAGAAGAGGTCACGTATTTATAGAGACCCAGGCAAAAATTCCATTATAATCGGGGTAGGTTAAGGTATTTTTGCTTTAGAGCTTCGGTTTTAAGTTAGCCAAATAGGATAGGTTGCCCACGTGGCCGGATGTTATTACACCAATGGAACACCAATGTTATTATAGCAGTGATTATGTATGAAAGAAGTCAAATAGGCTATAAAATTAATACTCTAAATACAATTAATTGACATGCAGAAAAGATTTAAGAGAAAATAAGGTATATTTTAAACAAGGTATAATTTAAATTTTTAATTATAAATTTAAATAAATAATAATTTGGCGCAATTATCGATTGGTGATTATTTATCGATTTCGATCACAGGTAAGCAAAAAACTGGCAAGGTAGCGTATACTCGAACCAATGTATATGTTTATGTAAAATGTATATTTCGTGTACTTTGACATACATTTCATCTACTTAATCTATTAGTATTCATACGGCTAGATGGCGCCACTTCCATGCCGCCATATAGTAGGGTGTAAAGTGCACTGTAGTTGTTCAATTAATCCGCTAGATGGTGTAAGGTACCTTACGAAATATCGATTAATGTATCGATATCGATTTAGCCATCAATTATTGGCGCCAAAATACAATATATTAATTTTCTTGAAAGGTAATAAATTTGGTGATTTTAAAACGGCTCATCTATCACGACTGCTAGATCCGGAATCTCAGAGGAGTACTCCTAGTGCCCAAAATCCGCACAATCGATAGTCCAGTTTCTCTGACGTTCTGCAACACCAAAAAAGATTAGATAAGATAAAAAACAATAACACAACAAACCTAATTTTTACAAATGTAACAAAAACTGATACATTTGGTGACTTCGCACTATCTTGACCTGGAGTTTACCAGGAAATGTTCGAGAGGCTCCACCCATCTTTGGGAAATTGGAGTTATTACCGGAGGTCTTCCAGTTTTCCCCGCTCGAAGTCTCTCACACACGCATAATTTGCAACTTAGAAAATTTATTGAGTATATTCTGGTAACAAAAATTAATATATCTATCTATATAATATAATAATATCTATACTTGATATCTATACCAAGGACGCGGGGATTCACAATAGTAAATTAAAGGACATATATACTAAAACAAATAACTTACAAGCTAATCAGCAGCCAGCTGTTTTACATTAAGTTAAAGTGCAATTCATTCTATTCACATCCGATTTAAAACTGGAATAGGCCAGACTAACTTGTTTTTTTATATTCCAGAATTACGAATTAAATTTAATAAAAACCGGGCTTATTATTTATGTACATTGTACATACATATGTCAGGGCATTTTAAACCACATTTTTAAAAAAAAAATTTAAGAATATTTTTAACTATTAAGTTCTTCTCAAAAAATTTACCATTTCTACCATGCCATTTGGTCACTTTAGGTTTGATTATGTGTGAAAATAAACATTTAATCCTACTATTATAGCCATTAAACTTCCGAACAAAATCCAAATTAGTTTTTCTCCACAAATCCTCATTTCCAAGTCATTGGCTTTTTATACCCTTGTAGAGGGTATTATAATTTCAGTCAGATGTTTGCAACGCAGTGAAGGAGACGTTTCCGACCACATAAAGTATATATATTCTTGATCAGCACCAATAGCCGAGTCTATCTAGCCATGTCCGTCTGTCCGTCTGTCCGTCTGTCCGTTTCTATGCGAACTAGTCTCTCAGTTTTAAAGCTATCGCGATGAAACTTTCCCGAAGGTCTTCTTTCTATTGCAGGTAGTACATATGTCGGAGCCAGCCGGATCGGACCACTATATCTTAAGGCTCCCAAACAAATATAAGAAAATTCATTGTAACTTTGTAGGAAGTAGGCGTTTTGATTCTTGACTACTTAAAAACAAAATCGAAATAAATCGAAACGCTGAATCTGGAATCCCTGGAACTGCACCGAGTGAGTATTCTTTTATCTACAAGGGTATATAAGCTTCGGCTGGCCGAAGGTAGCTTCCTTTCTTGTTCCGAAATAGTTTCAATTTGAAACCTTAATTTGGTTATAGTCAAATTGTTATCCTTCAATTGTTTGGATCTTTTCGAGATATCTCCGTTTAGAGTCGATATTTCTTCTTGATACCTTTTTTCTCGAGACTTTATGTCCGCAATGCCTATTCTATTATCTTTCAATTGCTTCAAGCTTGTAAGCAAATCAGACTCTAGTTCCAAAATTTGTTTCTTCAGGGTCGATTCCAAGTTGGCACTTTCCTCCTGGAATTCCCTCGATTGCCTCGAGCTCTCAGTAATTTGTTCGTTTAAAGTCCATATCTCACGTTCGTTGGCCGTTTTCTTTGACTCAAGATCGTCCACGTACTTCTTCATATCCCTAAATTTTGCGTCACTTATGGCAGCTTGCCGTTTCAAGTTAGCCACTTGTTGCTCTAAGCTCGTTATAGCTTGCAGACTTCGACTTGTTTCTAATATATGTAACTTGACTTCATTTCTTGTGAATTCCATGGTAAGAGTGTATGAATCGTCTAATTTCATAAACCTGTTTCCTTCACTGAGGAATACTTCTGTATATTTGTTAAGGGATCTTATCAATTTATCTTGTCCATAATAGATTTTATCGCTTTCCATTTTGCGTTAGCTAGGAAACAAAGTTATGAGCAAAATTATATATCTCGAATTATAATACTCACCAAGTAATTGAACAGAATTTTGCCAACAAAATAAAAAATACAAATGTTTGTACTTCAATGATAAGAACGTTGCGAAAATTGGTAGATTGTAGAAACAAGTGTGGCCAATAACACACTAATCATGGTAGCTGCCAAAGCCTTATCAGCAAAGTCTTTTCTACTTTTCTACACCATAGTTTGACATTTTATACTTGTTATGTTAATAATATACTAGAATTTATTTTATACTCAATATTAAAAATCATATATTTTGTAGGTTTTTTATTTTTAAATGAAAAATAAGAAATTAGGGAAGGGAAACAAATCGAAAACAAATTATAGGCCCATCTACTCTTGGGAATATATTTTTTTAATTATTTCAGAATTTCAAATTAAGTTTTAAATGACGACTATATAATTTTGATTTGATATTCTGGAATGATCTGCATCGGTATATAAACTTCGGTTAGCCGAAGATAACTTTTTTTTATTGTTTGTACATAATTTATTTTTAATACGGTTGCAGCTTATCATTAATATCAGGGGTTTTGGATGTGATTGGCAAAATACGTTAGATAAAAATAATCATTATCGACTCTATAAAAGCACAGCAGTGGCCAGCGAAAATATCAGTTTATTTGCAAATTTGGCGTTCTGTGGTCCTGCGTTCTTAAAATGTTGAAATTGTCAACTTTATTATTTTTTTTCGCTATTTTTGCCTGCAATCTGCATGGGATGGCTGAGTCCAATGAGAAAAAGGGAAGCTACCTGCGTTATTTGATAGATGAAGCACTTCATCCAATCCATGATGACATTGCTGATCTAAGAGGAGCTCTGGACAAATATTTGAAAAACGGAATATGCAAAGTGACGGATGCCCCAACGCAATGTGGATCTTTCTGTCTTGCCGCCTTACACCCTTTACTTGATGATATCGACAACCTTCAGCTACAGATAAATAATATGAGCCGTATCCAAGAAGACATTTTGGCGATATTGTCAGGTACTGAAAGGAAATCAGATGTGCAGGACGTGGAACAGGCAAATATACCCCCAGGATTTCAGAAGATTGGAACAAGATATTTTTATATCGAAAACAATATAAAAAAAAATTGGACAGATGCAGAAGCATATTGCCGTCGAAAGAAAGGTCATCTAGCGGCTTTTCAAAACAAAGACGAGTTGGCAGAAATTTATAAGAAAACGACCGAGGGATATTACTGGTTGGGCATAAACGATAGGGAAAATGAGGGAGAATTCATATCAGTGGCTTCCGGAAAGTTAGTAAAATTTTTTGAGTGGAGGGTACCCACAGAACCCGACAATTACCAAGAAGAGGACTGCGTGAACCTTTACCAAGTAGTTATGGGTGATGGGAAGTGTTCAAGCCGTGCGAAGTTTATTTGTCAACTAGATGACCGAGTATAGTCAAGTTCAAATAATTAAAAAAATAATTTATGAAGATCTGTATCTGTATCATAGTCGATACTGAAATACTTAAACAATAAAAAAAAAAAATGTTGTACAATTTTTTAAAATTAATTTCATAATTTTCATTATAAAAATGTATTTCTAAAATTTAATCAATAAAATCAATGGCAAAAGCAAACAGTTTTCCAACTAAATAAATGAAGATCCTTTTGTTGGCTTTCGAGTTGACCCAAGCCCAAAGAAAGCTGGCAGTCAAATCCTTTTTTCCCCCGGCCAATAATGAATGCAAACGAAAGTGATTGCAAAAGTTTCTCAAGGCGCCCGACCGACCGAACCACGCCTCATTTACCCACCGAAAATAAGCCAAGTTTTATTTGCTAATTGCAGCAAAAGTGTAGCTAAAGTAAGGGGCCAACCCACAAGTCCGCAACTCGAGAAAAACTTCGATTCCATTTGGAGTTCCTTTCGAATCTCAACCAGCAATTCACGCAAAAACAGCCTTTGGCGTTGAAAATGTTTACAAAAATCCTAAGAGGATGAGGAAGTAAATACTATTTAATAGAATTTATTAAAGACATTTTAGAAATTATTTTTATGACAATATTTGAACAATAAATTCTTTAAATAAAATTTGTATTTTAGTTAAGTTATTAATGAAAACCCAATAGTATGGACCAAATCTCATTAGTTTGCTTTTCTAATTTTAAACTATTGAAGTAAATGTAATGCCCAAAACCTGGGTTGTGGAAAGAAACTGCCTTCTTTTTTCGGTACGAGGGGTAAAAGTTGACTGCCAACGTTTTTCCGCAAATTTCTTTGCAAGTTTTTCCGGCAACCGGGGCCGTGGGCTTCCGTTTCGGGTGTTCGG